TCGAATACATGTAATAGTATTGATTATTTCTCCAAGAAATTTTGTACAAAATTAATGTTTTATAGGTTCAAGAAGATGAAAAACTTTCACAAATAATTTGCATAGAGTGCTGCAAATTTGTAAAAAGTATAATTAAATTCAGCGAACGCGTAAACAAAGTCCAACAATTGTACGCTGAATTATACAATTGTACAGATAAAACAACACTCGATCTGGGTTTATTGTTAGATAAATATGGTATTTTTAAAAGTGAAAAACTAATAACGCAACAAGGAACCGAACTGCCGGTTGAAGAAATTTTTGTTGCCGAATTAACAGTTACGTCTGAAGTCGGCACTAATATAAAAAATGAGTCTATAAAAGTGACAGAAAAGTTGGATATAATAGTTCAAGAGACAAAAGATGAATTTAATGACCCTATAGGCGATGAAGGAGGAACCTTAGACCAAATTTCTTGTACTTCATCTATGTCCGATGACTTTAGCAGCAATGAAGATAATGATGGTACAGAATCATCCGATTGTGAAATAAAGTCATACAAAAAAGGTGGCGTTCATGATAATATCTCAAAAGAATTAGAACACTTGTGTAGCATTTGCTCACAAAGCTTTCAACGTCGTAGTATTTATTCTAGACACATGAAGAAAAAACATAGCGTAATTGTCTGTCCACAATGTCCAACTTCATTCAAAACAGACTCTACGCTCAAGTTGCATATGGTAAATCATCGAAAATTGTTCAGTTGTACACAATGTGATCAAAAGTTTGAAAGGAAGGGGTCACTTGGTAAACATATAAGGAACGATCATAAATTTGCCCGCACATTTGTCTGTGAAGCATGTGGTGAAGCACTACGTACAAAAAAACAACTGAAGCAACATATGTTGACCCATACAGATTATACACCATTTGTCTGTAAGGAATGTGGAAAGAGTTTCAAGGAGAAATACAGATTAAAGGTAAGCTATAATTCTGAAATAAAATTTAACAAAACCAACTGAATAGGTTAAAAATTTCAGCGCCACCTGGAAACACATAGTGATAAACTCATCTGCACTGAATGTGGAAAACAACTAAGTTGCCGCGCAACACTCAGAAGTCATATGTTAGTACATTCCGATAAGATGGCTCACAAATGTGACTATTGTGGACGTGCATTTAAGCGCGCCAAAACGCTGAAATATCATTTAATAGCTCATACTGGACTCAGACCGTATTCTTGCGACTTTTGCGACAAAACATTTTCAACTGGCTCCAGTTGCCGCTTACATAAAAAGACTATGCATCCAGTTGAATTGGCAGCCTTAGAAGCATCTGGGGCAAAGGCCTATACAAAAAATGTACCAAATTTGGATGAATTAAGAGCTGTGTAAGAACGTTTGTCTTTATGCTGTGATATATTATACTTATTTAAATTCAATATTTTAGAGCGCGTACGGGTGAAAATTTGATACCGTTGACATCAAAACAAAATGGTTATGGAGGTTTAAAAAATACGTAAGAGCTGAAGACATTTCGTCAAAAGTATGATTACCGATATTTGGTATTACATTATACATATGTATGTATATAATCATATTTGCATATATGTATTTATTCATATATGTACATWTAATAATGTTATGGGCATATGCATCAAACCTTTTAATATTATGTAAATAACATACATTTATTACGAAATTAAAATTAATTAAGTGTTTTTATTTTATTAATTCTTCAATTAATATAAAATGGTTTTTACCAACTTTCAAAGAAGATTTTGTTAATCCAATTACAAATACAAGAATAAGACAACAAATGACGTATAGTATTTTTTAATGCTAGAAAGCATTTTACCATTCTTGTTACAAGTCAACAAACGAATTAGCCCCTAAGAAATATAAACTTGTGCACAATAATTGTGAAATACAATTCTTTGGCAACTTCAGAAAGATCGCGATCTATTACTATTATAAGTTGCGGAAAAATAATTTATATCACCGTCTATTTAGTTTAGTGAAAATAATAGATCTATTGGAAAATACTAGTTTCCAATGTTGCCGAATTAATTGTATTTGCTTAACTACTTCCCTGCAATATTCCCTTTTGATTTATTAACTTGATTACCGGCGGATATGAAATTTTAAAATAATAATAATCGCCTTATCCGGCACTGTTCACCTTACATTGACTGAATTTGTACATATTTGGATGCGAAGCATATATGTATGTATGCACATACAGGCCATATCGATAACATAACGTCGTTTGTCATTGTATTATCAACAAAGATGTGCCTGACAAGACAACTATTTGCGCACTTATTAAAAAAAAAATTAAAAAGTAACTATTAGAACTGGACTTTCCCGTTTTTGAATGAGATAAATATAATTTAACAAGCAATAAAATCGTGCTAAACAGTAAATTATCACGGCAAAGCATTTATCGATTAACAAATCTGAAGATATCGACAATTTCCTTGCATACCGAACGTTCGAGTTGTAAACAATTAGAAAAAATCAGATTTGCAGAAATTATTTTGTGTTCATACATAATTGCCAAAATTAAAAAAAAAAGAGAAAGAAGTCATTAATAAAAAAGTATAGAAGACAACAGCCTGTGAACAGGGTATTCATTTTTATAAATGGAAAGAAGCATGTGTAATTAATTTCAACTCATTACTATACAAAAAGTAAATAAATCTTCATAAAAATGTCAGAACCCGATTTAGACAAAAGAGATATCAGTACAAATTATCAGTTAATTGCTGAATGGAAAAGTTGGTGTCGCCTATGTGCTAAACCCAATGCAAGTTATATCAATGCCCTATCTGGCCAATGTGTGCCAAACATGTCAAGTTTTAATGTTTACAATTTAAACATAGTCTCCGTAATAGCCGAATTTTTCCAAGTACATGTATGTAATTGAAATCAAATTTGCACATTTATGCCTTAATGTTTAAGCCATATTTTACAGATTAAAGAAGACGAGAAACTTACACCGCTAATTTGTACAGATTGTTACAACGTAGTCAAATCCTTCGTTGATTTTAGTGAGAATATTACAAAAGTACAAAAATTTTACGATGAACTACTGCATAGCGATAATACAATGAAAATCGACTTATCAGCTTTGTATGAGAAACATGGCCTATTTAAGGAAGAATCATTTACACCACACACCAGCATTGAACTACCAGTGGAAGAAATTTTTATTGCCGATTCACGTACCGCAAGCACAGTACATAAATCGAAATTTCAAATAAAAAACGAAAAAATATCGGTGGCATTATCGCCTGAAGTACTTATTAAAGAAGTCGAAAAAGAAGAAGATCTTCAAGACCCTTTTGCCGAAGAAAAAATTCCTGCCGTTGTTGGAAATTGTGTAGCAACAACAAGAAAAAACAATTATGTCAACAATGATGATTATGACATGCAAATGGATTCTTCAGACGAAGATGAGAGAAAACCGCACAATAGATTGAATAGTGAGGATATTGAAACGGACGATTCTGAAGAAGTGGTAAAAGAGAGTAAATACACTTGTAATATTTGTTCACAACGTTTTCAGCGTAGCGGAAATTATGCTGCACATATGATTAAGAAACATGAACAAATTATATGCCCTCATTGCCCTGGCTCATTTAATAGTGAATCCAATTTAAAGAGTCATATGAAAGAACATCGAGAGTTATACCCGTGTAAACAATGCGATCGCAAATTTCAGCGGAAAGAATACGTAGCCCAACATGTTAAATGTGTACACAACGATGAGCGCCCATTTATTTGTGAAGCATGCGGTGATGCTTTACGCTCGAAAGGACAACTTAAAGAACATATGTTAACGCACACAGACTACTCTCCCTTCGAATGCAAGGAATGCGGGAAATGTTTCAAACAGAAACAACGTTTAAAGGTAATATAATATTGAAATTTAGCATAAAATTTTTGAAAATATTTATGTACAATTACTAGAGACACATGCAAATACATGGAGACAAACTTATTTGCAATGAATGTGGGAAACAGTTAAGTTGCCGGGCCACATACAATAGCCATATGTTAGTCCATTCTGATAAAATGCTACACAAATGTGACTATTGCGGTCGAGCTTTCAAGCGTGCTAAAACACTGAAAAGCCATTTAATACTCCATAGTGGATTAAAACCATATTCGTGCGAATTCTGTGATAGGACGTTTACAAATGGGTCAAATCGGCGTACACATATGAAAAGAACACATCCAAGTGAATTAGCTGAGTTAGAAGCTTCAGGAGAAAAAATGTATACCAAAAATATACCAGAACTAGCCGTGCTGAAATCTGTGTAAAAAAATATAACCCATCTGTTATATGTTGTAAAATATTGAAACATTTTTTTGCAGTATACGGAAAGCGGAGAACCTTATACCTGTTGTCTCAAAACAAAGTGGAAATTTTGCTTTTGGCAAAAAAACAAGATCCAAACCAGTAAATACTGCGGTCACCACGGATTCCGAATTAATGAATTAAATAGCAATTAGCTATAAATTATACTTATAGAATTATTTAGGTACCTTTTTTAAATTAGGTGCATCAGCAACTATATAAAAAGAAAAGAACATAACAACATTAAAAACACGGGTATTTAATGAAAGTGATTAAAAATTACAAATAGTATAATATTACAATTTTCAGTCCAATACATCTATGTATGTATGTATTTTGTTGTCTTTAAAATTGCTTCATATTTCTTCCATACTTTCATGGCGAATGTATTTAATTCTTATTTGAAATGAAGGAAGATATTTACTTAATTATTTGGTAACCTGATGTATGTACATGAAAAATTATCGTCCACAAAACTATCGAGTGCATTCTGTACAATCTACACATAACTGCGGACCCTCAATTTTATCTTCCCTATCCGAAAAACATCTGTTCTTATTCGGTAATTTTTCACAACTTTTTCGCTAACATTTTAAGTAAACATACGCATTACTTGCTGTTTTGATAAAAAAAGTGAAATTTTATTTAAAATATATCAGTGTATGGAAAGATGAATGTTTTGCACGAATTAAGAGCTGATGAAAAGCTCAATACCAATATTGATAAAATTGCGCCTTGGCATCTTTGGTGTCGCTTATGTGCGAAACAAGATATTCAAAACATTAGTGTTTTTTTCAAAGATGAACATATGGTTGCTTCTACAGGCAATGGAGAGGAAAACAATCTCGGCCTTAATATTGCTATTTCTAAATACTTTTGTGTGCAAGTAAGTAAAGTTAATAATTGCTTTAATAGTATTTTACTTTCTAAACGAATAATACAATATCAATTTCCTACAGATAAAAATGAATGATGAACTGCCAGACCGATTGTGTACTGAGTGCTTTTCTTTAGTAACGTCTTTGGTTAACTTCAATGAACGGGTGATAAAAGTGCAGGAAATGTATGAAGCCCTTCAAAGGCTTAGTGACATTACAGAAATAGACTATCAAACGTTACGTTTGAAGTTTGGTGTGCCAATTGATGATCGACCACATGAGTTTCTATGTCGTACACTAGAGGTACACTTACATGAAGAAAAACCAAAAACAAATGAATTTTTTGAAAAAAGTTTTATGGAAGAAGCTGTGATAGATATTTTACCAAAAGTGTGTAACAAAGTTATTGAAATAAAGRAAGAAARYTCAATWGARTTAACACCGYCGGCRGATGAAGATGCATACGRTTTTGAAAATGAAGACGCTTGTKACGAAGACCCTTTTSKCAGYGATAGTGATATRAAAAGCRATGAAAATTCTAGTTCTAGTGAAAGTTCAGTGAATAACTCACGAAAAAAACGTATGCAAGAAAAAAATGACACGGAAATAGATGAAACAAATATTAATTATATTAAAAAAAGAAAAATTAAAAGAAATGATTTTAAAAAAGCAGAAGAGAGTGGGGATGGTGAATGCAATGAAATATATACATGCAAAGAATGTGCGCAGACATTTAAAAAAATCTCCAATTATCGCACACATATGGAACGCAAACATGGACAACTTGCGRTCGTGCCCAAATTCACATGTACCGATTGTCCATTTACATGTAACACCCAAGCACAACTCAATCATCATGCCGTTAAACATGTGCCCTGCCCTCATTGTGACCGAAAATTCCCCACTAAGACAATTGTGGCAAAGCATATAAAGTATGTGCATTTGAACGAACGCTCCTTTATTTGTGAGGAATGCGGCGAAGCTGTGCGCTCAAAGGGACAACTTAAACAACATATGCTAACACATACAGATTATGCGCCGTTTGAATGTGAAGTGTGTAAAAGAGGCTTTAAAAATCAAGGACGACTTAAAGTAGGCTACGTTAAATCAATTTCAGCGTACAATTATTTTATGTTTATTTGTAAAATTTATGTTATTTACAGAAACACATGAAAATCCATAATCCAAATAAGCACATTTGTGCCGAATGTGGTTTACAATTAAACTCGAAAGCTACATTCAACCGTCATTTGCTGGTGCATTCCGATGTCATGCAACATAARTGTGACTTTTGTGGACGRGCMTTTAAGCGYGYARAGGCRYTAAAAAATCACCTTATTCTGCATACAGGTCTCAAACCCTATTTGTGCGACTTTTGTGATAGAACATTTGCTAACGGTGCTAATTGTCGTACGCATAAAAGAAAAGCACATCCTGAAGAGTTAGCCGCTTTGGAAGCTTCTGGAGAAAAAGCATATACTAAAAATATACCGAAATTAGCAGTACTAAAGTCTGTGTGAGTATAATTGCATCAATATCGCATCACRTAATTATAATAATTGTATGTAAATTTGTATAGAGTAATGTTTTTTTCCGTGCAAYCGACTTACAATTGTAAGATATTAAACTTAGGTACTAACTTAACTTAACTTAATTCTTTTATTAACTCTAGCACACGTGCGGCTGATAATCTAGCGCCCGTTGTTTCAAAACAAAGTGGAAATTTCGCTTTCGGCAAGAAACCCAAACTGCCACCAGACAGCGTGGGCACTGTAAGTAAAAAACAAGCCAAAATGCTCAAACAAGCCATGACAACGCCAACGAATCCTGCATCGATCGCGCCTGGCAATAATAATGTCAATCATGGAATACTTTTCGAAGTTGAAACGAATAACCAGCGTGTGGACGATGAACATAACTCGCTTGGCAGAAATATACCCACAATCGATAATATATACAATCATCTAATGAAGCAAACTGCCACCAACAGTGGTTATGCTATGAACTCTACCTCCATACTGAATCCCATGCATACGGAAATGAAACGCTCACACAGCGAAGACTCATCACCTGCTAACAACAGTTGTGTCGCTATTGATATATCAAATGTCATTGCGCAGCAGCAAACGCCGCTTAATCATCAGATATTAGTGCCCGTACAAGATGCTTCAGTCCAAAATTTTTGTACAGCATTTATAAAGCAACATCAAATGGATAAACAACAGCAACACATAGCTGCATTACAACAGCAACATGACGAAATATCCATACATAGTCCGGCGAGTCATATTTCTCATCACACAGAAGAGCTCTCCACAGCATCAGCAAGCACAGCGGAAGCAAATAAATTCTATAGCCACATAAGACAACATACTCCAGATAGTTATCTTTAGATGTCACTTGATAGCAATATAAGGCTTTCCTCAACAAATGACTATAAATGTGAGTGCATATTGTGAGTGATTTCTTTGTGTAGTTATATTTGAGTTCGTGTGCAGGTATGTTCGTATTTACAGGGTAGTGCTAATGTAGTTATAAATTATTAGTAATTTTAAATTGTGAATATTTTTTACCGTTACATCATTATTAAAGGCTGCATTGATGATTTTAAGCCAATGTCAACCTTATCTCCACAGTTACATAATCAAATTATGTATTTCAAATCAATTTTTTTTTTACAAACAATAGTGTTTAGATATACTCCAAAAAGATAACTTGTTTTTCTATTAAATTTTCAATAAATATATATAAATTGTTGCTAGTTTTAATTATGTGAATCTGTCTATAGTGTGTAAAGTGTATACCCAAGCTTAAATATGAGTTTTATGAATATTATATATTCAGACTTGTAATGTGTTAGTGAATATTATTTTTTTTTTGTCAGTTTTCTGTTTAGATTTGAAAAAACTTGCAATCAAAATGTGCGTTAATTTTTAGTATTGTCTTAGTTGGTAATATTTATTTTAGATATACTTAAAAAAAAAACTAGCAAATAGAATAAAATGTATAATTTTTTTATCGTAAGGCATTGTACATAATAAAATTATAAGCCAAACGTTTTAAATAAATTTTGGAGAAAATAAAGAGTGCGTTAATCATTATCTCATTAATATTATTCGTAATTTTTAAATTAAGTATTATTGTTATTTTTTGATAAATTACTGTTATATTTTATTAGTTATTATTTTGTTATTAATTATTATTATTTTTAAATAGGCATACTTCTCTGGATGAAGTGGTATCTCAATGCGGTTTGGATTTGCATTTTCCTAACGACAATGATACTGAGCATAACT